AGCACTAGCTTAACTAGACAAAGGCCGAAGCACCATAGTCACGCAATACAGCACAACGTACCAAATTGTAACTAGTTAGATAGAACGGCCTTTGGCCAAAGTCCTACATAGCCAACGGCTGATACAGGACTATAATGGAATAATCATAATAATAATAGAACTAGTCAAGTCACAGATACGAGAAAGCATTTTTATGAAAAATTTCTTTTTCTATCAAGGCAGAAAGACATGTCTCCTAAATCAGGCTTTAGCGACAAAAAAGTAGAGCATGCTACGAGTTTCAAAGGATGGGTTAAACAATCCCGCTGCGTAGGGGAAGAACAGGTGATGAATTTTTCTAGCGTTTCGCGGGTCTGCGCATCTAATGATAACTTTAAAAGTCACATTATACACCCAAACACCGATGGCCGCTTATGTCGTGTTATGATAGTGACGCTGAGGGCCTAGCTGTTAAGGCCTCTCGGAAAGCTGTGGGCATTGCGCCACAGCTATTCTTAGCCGCTAACTAATATAGGTATAAGGACTAGATTCGTTATAATAGTAATATAGTGCGTTCCGGAACGTAAATATAGACGTTCAATTTCTTAATGGAATCCACAAACGGTCTCGTTGTCGCTGCTATATGCAAAGACTCATGAACGCATTTGCAGTATCTATATCGACCATCTCTGCCGTTGAAGCAGTGACTAAAGTTCCGTCTTATCCAATATAATGTTTATCGAGTTCTACGATAAGTAAATCTACTCTCTTCAACCACCCATCCCTCTCCCCTCATCCTACACCACATCCGCGACCTTAACAACTGTCGCAAACACATCTGCTAACTCCGCAAGCGCCACCCTCTTCACCTCCTCACCACTCACCCCAGGAATATCACGATCCCCAATCGCCTCTTCTGCAAGCAAGACTTCATACCCTTTTTGAAACCCCTCGCGCGCAGTCGTAGACACGCACACGTGCGCCATGTAGCCCGTCAAAACAAGCTTCTTGATACCCATGCTCTGCAGCGTTTCGTGTAGAGTGGTTTGCTCGAAGGCGCCGGGGAATTGTTTCCAGATTGTTGGTTCGGTGGACTGGGGGGTGGGTTAGTTTTTCTTTTCTTTTTCTAGCTCGTCGTGGTGGTGGGGGCAGAGAGGGAGGGATAGAAGTACTTGTGCTGTGAGTTCCTGGAATTCATCGGCGAGATGGGTTCCAGGTGTGAATACGGGGGCGCCATCGTCTTCCTTGTGCAGGATGTGGATTATTTTTCCACCGGCTTTGCGGTATTTGGCGAGAAGGTCTGCGATGGCTTTTCCGCTTTCTGCGGCGTTTGTTACTTTGAGTTTTCCTGAGGCCTTTTTGGGTTGTTAGATTTGCGATTCTGCTTCACTGCGGGGTAGGGGAAGTGGGATGGGGACGTACATATTCATTTTGCGCGTCGATGATTAACAGCGCGGAGTCGCTGGTAGATGCAGTGGACGGTGGGATTCCGACAATGTCACGGAAACTTGGTGCCATGTTGATTGTGCGTCTTGTTCGTTCGTGTGGTGTTGTGAATAGTGGTGGCGGTGAACTCAACAAGGTCCTATATCCTATACGAACTGAGGATATAGACAGGCTACCCTTGGGTTTAGAGTATTATAGTTGTATAGAAGGCGTTCTATAGCCAAACAAGTAGTTGTTGCCGAGGCATATTAGATGCCGTTATACGCCGCGGAATGATTGGCAGACGGCATCCCGCAGTGGGGTGCCTGCATGACGCGATGATAAGCCTCCGCCCCAATGAGACTTGCTCATCCCGCGTCGCTCTCTGCAGCGTTGGGATCCCCCGTCTAAGTCATATTCTTATGATTCGTACATTCGATCTAAAATTCCAAGAATAAAAAACTGACTTCATAAATCGAGTGCGGTGCCAGACTGGGATAAGCGGTTCACTTTTCTCGTAGTGACGGTTTGTTAATGTGCGTGGTGTAGCCATACAAGTCGCATGAATTGGAACGAATATTCGTTCAAAAACAGCCAATTCGCTAGAGTAATCGCAAGTAATATATCGATTAAAGATATCCCCAAGAACAAATTGGGTAGACTACATAAATACAATCCCATCATCTCAATCACCAAAACCACAAGCGGCCTCTCCCGTGTCAACTCCAGAACTCCGCCAATATCTTTCCTATCAACGTCAGCTAAACACTTAATCCTCTAGTAGCATGATATCTTACCTCATTAAAGATACGTCCTCCCTCCAGGCGCCTGCTCCCTAATTTCCTTCAGCAACCTCCCATGCTCCTCAATAGCCTTGCGGCTCGTCTTCTGCACCTCACCCTGGCGCAGCGCATACGAGTACCAAGTCTTAAAGCAGTCTTTTTGGTGGGCGGTCGGGTAGCGTACACCCTTTGCACGATGGGCTTGCAGGACTGCGTGTTCTAGGGTGCGGGTTGCGGCGGGCATGGCTTAGTTTTGTATTGAGGTATTGGGATTGCACAATTGATTCAATGGCTTAAGATTTATCGACGAGAAGAAGAGGTAGAGGGAGAGCTTGAGACAGGGAAATCTTAGTGCAAGATGTGGGAAGGTAGATGGGCTGTGAAAGCGTTTGATCACGTGACTGGTATGGCTCTGGCACGGGCACCTTGTCAGCAGAACAGGATGAGTTGCGCGACGACGGCTATTTAAGGCGAAGCGGGAATGATGAGAAAGAAAGAATAGAAATCCGGGGAAAATAAGCTGACCGAACCAACCTTTTGAACTTTTTTCCCTTCTTTCGGCTCTCCGCGATCGTCTCCGCATTTCTCGTACAACGCCAGTCGTGCGGATACGCACGGGGAAAGGGGGGAGGGGGAACGCCCAACCACTCCCATCATCCCGATCTCAGCCAGCAAATATGTGTCCGGGGGATTTAGGATTGGACGAGCAAGGTCAAAGTCCGACGCGGGCCATACAACATGCACCATTTTTTGTCCGAAACTCGCAACAAAGACCTAAAGCAGAAAAGCAGTGTGGTTTCCTTCCTTCCCAGGGCTGCAGAATCCCGAGCCACTGGTAGGATTTGCAAGGTCTCCTCCAAATGGAGATATGTTGTTTTCGTCTTATGGGGTGTGTGAAGTACGCTCAGGAGAGTGTGTAGGGTTGATCGGGAAAGAACGGAATGGATAGAGTTTTGGTGAGATGCACGCAGTGCGGTGAACGTGTAGATCAGGGTCGCTTATCTTGGGGGAAAGATGGAGAGTTTGGGCACCGGTGGGATGGATCAAAACGCGGGGTAAGAACTAAGTGCGCCGAAGATCACTGCACTGGCATCGACACGGAGACTGTGGATGCGCATCTTGGATGGCGATGCGCGATGGATGGGGTGTTGGTATCTGGTAAAAGTATTGTGTCGTTGGGATATAGCGAAGAGGAAGAGGGGTTAGGGAAACAAGGTACGTATCGATGAGTTGGTAATTGGCAGGATGGTTTAGGTCAGCAAGTCTCAAATCACACTACAGACGCAGTGCTTCCCGTACCTGACCTTAGAAGCAAGACCGTTTGCTGTGTTCCCCTCCACAAAAACTGAAATCCAGGCATCCATCAGGATCATTTATGAGTGGCGTGACCAAACCATCCTGTGGCACCCCCATCATGGCTAAATCCAATGTCGCCACCTAACCACTCACCCTCGTCATTCGGACACCGATGCCTGCAAAAGACTCCGAGGGCCGTTTTCTGTCATCAACAAACTCCGAGGAACGGTTGACCCCAGGGAACGGATGAAACGATAAGTGTACACTACGACGATAAGCGAGATTTGAGCTAGATAAGGTATGTTGGTTGTATTTGTTCTCTTTTATATGAAAGTTATATTGGGCTAATGTAAGTGTAAGGCTGGTGTCCCGTCTAATCCGTGCTTGTGTCACGTGCTGCTGATGGTTCGTGGTGCTGCGTTTCGAGAACGACATACTATGAGAGGTGTTTGTGATATGAAGTTTTTGGTTCTGTGTCAGTCGCCTTGTATAAAACATAGAAGCGTGATAGTTGCAAAGATGTTGAATCCAATACCGCTTGTCGCGTTCGTGTGATCTCTGTGGTATACCTTCCTTTACAAAGTTCAGTGTCAATTGTTGAGTACGCTTGAAAACGGTCCGAATTAACGTCAAGCCTTTGTTTCAGTTGTGAAAAAGCATAGTTATCGGTCCTACCTGCCTTGTTGAGTAGATCGAGCGACACATATTGTAGATCAATCTACAACATGATCTGATATCAGTTCCACAGTCTAATATCTGGTGTCCTTGATGACGTGCGTAATAATCTCTCATGTTTGCCCACAGTTGAGGGCGAACTCATCAGGGGTATTGAGAACCTATCTGGTAGTGTCTCAGTTAATTCAGTCACAAGGCTACAAGGCTGATTACAGTTTCCCTGCTGATATTATGACAAGACGGCAGAAGTCTCATGGCAAGTATTTTGCAATTATCCCCACTGTACATCCGACGAGAACGGCAAAATATCCTGTGTCGTTCTATGGCTATCGCCACTTGATCAGGACCGAATCCTAATAAAGCGTGCCCAACAAGCAAAGGCGACAAGCCTGGTGAGAATAATCACGCAAGCAGCTGACACCTGCACTGTGAGATGAGGGGAAAAGAGTCTTTGATGAGAAACTTGCTCAAGATGCTCAGTCTCGATGGCGTTAAACAATCACCTCATGCAAGATCTCGATGAGGCGATTAGGATCTGTAGAAAATGCTCCATCGTCCAAACCCATACTTGAGTCTCAGGAGCCGTGGGCGAAGCATACCGTATCGCCCCTCATCAAATCAAACTCAAGCCCCAACTAAACTGCCTCCTCTGGCAAAAGTAACACGCCACTATTGCCCCTCAAGCCGGCTAAACACAAAACAACATAAAAATAAGACTTCAAGTCGGTTAGCCAGGGGCGACATGCTAGGCAAAGCACATTGAAGCTTTCTTTTTGGAAATCAAGTCCCCAAGACCTCGGGAGTATTATTCTGTACAACCTATTTTGCCGCCTGCTCGTCTCGACGTTCCATAGTGCAAGAGAGAAAAAACGTGGGACTGGGGAATGTGTATTTTTGCTTACTGCAAAACGTGGAAAGTGGCGCGAGGAAAGTTTGATCAGGGAAACGGAGTTTGTACCCGGAAGAGAGATAGTATAGAGAGGGAGAGAAATCAATATTGGATCCCCCTTGTCCCAGTAAGAATTCTCTATACCTGGTTCCCTGTTCTCTGCACGTAGCGTTTGCCTTTCTTGTCATCATGTGATTTTGAATTTCCTTTCTTTTACCTTTGTTCCTATATGGTAATGCATACGTTATTACGTCTCCACAGCCCCCGATTCGCTCTGTGCGTTTTTTCTTTTCTTCTGAAACTTTAAATCTTTTGTCCCTGCCGAGTTTCCGGACAAAGATGGTGACACAGGACCCGCTCTCTTAGTTAGCTATAATTTCCCAAAATAAATTTTGTTTTTGCAATTTCAAAGATAATGCAACTTGATATGTTTTTTTTTTGAAATGATGCAGCTTGGGATGTCGCCAGATGAGATTCATGAGAGGATAGAATCGTCCGGTGGTTCCAATAGTCCGTAAGGTGACTTGTTGTGGTCGAGTACTAGCACAGGCTAATTTCTAAGTCCGCCCACACACACCACGTCGATGTGTGTGGAGCCGCCCGATCTTGGCGTGGAACCGGGGTGCAGTAGTTCGAATGACGTCCTCCTATAGTTAACCTACGTATAGTGGCCTAGTGTCGACAGTGCTTCTGAACCTTCCCAAACGAGTTGGATATCCGGATAACGTCGTGGAGGATTGAAGACAGTCGCTAACCACACCATGTGCGATTCTGCACAATTCCCGATGGCTATGGGATTTGTTGTCTTATCTGACCATTTTGGGCATATCCTTTTCTCCGCCGATTTTCATGATTCGTTCCAGAACCTTTTCTCCGTGCGCTCACCTACATGTCGACCCACTTCTGCACTCCACGTCTCTCTTCCGCCCAAGATATCCACCGCGCTTGGCGTGTCGTAGTGGAAGCGGTAGAAGTACCGGCTCCTATATATCTTGGCAGGACGTGTTCAACCGGTGGTAAACTGAAAGATTGCCGAGATTTCCCGCCTAGAGCCTTCTGTGTCCTGTCACGTGCGATACTACCCCTGATAGATTCATCGTGTATGCATGTTTAGCCCGATTGACGTTCTTCTTGGGCTGTGAAAGGATATGGGGAGTGTGGGGTAGGGTATCTGCACTTATTTCTGTGGCGTTCCTTTATATTAACGTCCTCGAAACCCGGTTCAAACAGCGCGTAAAACCCGGGTAGAGCGATGTTCTTTTAATTATGTTATGCAGATTTACGCAAGGGCTACAGATCTTTTTGATCACCCCGTCGTGGCCGTTGCTACCGAAACTGGATGCCGATCGGTGCATGTTCCCTATGTGTCTCGACTTGGTCATTGTGGCCGCCGCTTAGGGTGAGCTTGTCGAAGTGAGAGGCCTTAACCTACCACCAATGTGTACACCATCACGAATAGAGACAGCACGCGAGATGAGACCTCATGACCACCAGTGTCATTTCATCCTGCGATTCAGGCTCAACTATTACTCGGCGTAGAGATATAAGTCGATAGCTGCTCCCAGTCAGTAGCATCACTGCATCCAACACAGATCAGCAACACTCAACACAAGATGGTTTCCTTCAAGTCTCTGCTTCTCGCCGCTGTGGCTACCACCAGCGTCCTCGCTGCTCCCTTCGATTTCCTTCGTGAGCGCGACGATGTCAACGCGACTGCTCTCCTTGAGAAGCGTCAGTCTACTCCCAGCGCCGAGGGATACCACAATGGATACTTCTACTCGTGGTGGACTGATGGCGGTGGCTCTGCCCAGTACACTATGGGTGAGGGCAGCAGGTACTCTGTGACCTGGAGGAACACTGGCAACTTTGTTGGTGGAAAGGGGTGGAACCCTGGAAGCGGCCGGTAGGTTGCGAAGACTGTTTGGTGATGAGAATCTTACTAATGTGGATTCGTAGTGTCATCAACTACGGCGGAGCCTTCAACCCCCAGGGCAACGGATACCTCGCTGTGTACGGATGGACCCGCAACCCGCTTGTCGAGTACTACGTGATTGAATCCTACGGAACCTACAACCCCAGCAGTGGAGCCCAAATCAAGGGCAGCTTCCAGACCGACGGTGGTACTTACAACGTTGCCGTCTCCACCCGTTACAACCAGCCCTCCATTGACGGAACAAGGACCTTTCAGCAGTACTGGTAAGTCATTTCGGTGTTTAATCAGACAGAAGCGTAGATGTTGACTGTTATGATAGGTCTGTCCGCACCCAGAAGCGTGTCGGTGGAAGCGTGAACATGCAGAACCACTTCAACGCTTGGTCTCGCTATGGCTTGAACCTTGGTCAACACTACTACCAGATCGTCGCCACTGAGGGTTACCAGTCCTCTGGAAGCTCTGACATCTATGTGCAGACTCAGTAGAGTAGTTGTTGTCTGTGAAGCGAGCAACTAGTAGACGAGATTAGACAAGAATAGTGTCTCGGATAGTTGTAAGCAGGTTGGAGAAAGAGCGATGTGTTCGATTTCCTGTACATAGAAACATGTCAATTCACTCGCTATAAAACCTTCCGTCCTCGAATGTGTTCTCTTTTGTATTAGCTGAGCATTGTATCGTGGTTCGGCAAAAGCAGGTAAAGTTTAGGTGAGGGCATTTGTTATAAACAGTCATAGTCTCGTAGCCATCGAATGCTGGTGTGTGAATTCCACTTAGGTGGTGTGTGTATGTATGCTGACCGAGCGGTTTTCTCTTCTCATCTACCAACAAGTGACCGCATACAACTCTTGCTCCGCAACTTTACATTTTGTTAAAAACGTTCGTTCCAGTTACGTATTGCTCCGTGCCCTCTCTCATCCTGCCCTCAGTCTCCATATCATAACTGTCCTCAGTGACAATCAACTCATCAGTCAGTCCTTCCAACAATACGCTATTTTGCGCCTCAGCCTCGGCCATGAGGTCGAAGCTTTCTCCAGAGTCACTGCCGGCCTTTTCAAAAACGTCAAGACCGCCATCGAACCAACGTGCCTGCTCACCGATCCAGTCAACACCACCTGTACGGCGACTTCGGCGCAAGACTTCCTTCTCTTCGAGGGGCAGCAAAGGAAGATCGACCTTGGGCGGCAGAATGGTGCGGCGGTGCCAGGCACCGAGGAACATGCCTTCAGGATCAACTTCGTTGCGGACACGATTGTATTCATCAAGGTCGTCACCATACGCTGACGACAGGTAGGCGTAATCGACGGATTGGAAGTTCTTTGCCCAATGAGGCCGGCCATTGTATTCTTTCATCAAGTGCTCAAAAGCTTCATAATAGCGTTCTCTGCAAGGGGGATCCTGACCATAGGGACGATAAAGTGTGGCATTGAGATAAAGGGAAGGTGTATGCGCGTAAGAGGTGTCAAGGTATGGACGTGGCTCGCGGTCGACAGTGTTTGCGATACGGACTTCAATTGGCGAGTGGACGTAAAGACCTTTAGTGCTAAAGGGGAGGCCGGAGGATTTCTCATCGCCGTGGAGCCAGTTTGTGATGCGAGTCAAGGCCTCAGGACCTTTCTCGAGAGGAATGCTCCATTCGTTGACGAACTGAGAGTAGAGACAGTTCATGAGGAGTTCGGTACGTTGTTCGCCGACAGCAGAGATGACAGCTCCATCTTTGAAACCGTATTGCATGCCAAAGACGAACCATTCTACCCAGGGTAGGAAACGTGGGACGTATTGAGATATCCAGAGTAAGATGTGGTAGGTATGATAGCCAACACTACCGCCGTACCAGTTGTATTCGGGTGCCCGGTGCGCTTTTTTGGTCTTGTCTGCGCGCCATACAACCGCGCGCTTCATATACGGTAGCCACCATACTCTGACGAATTCATTGGAAGTCCACAGCCCGTTGTTCCAGTCTGCCAGGACATCTTCAATAGGTCGAATGGTCTGTACCCACTCAACGTTGTTCGCCTCAACCATCTGGAATTCGATCTCGACAATTATGCCCAACGCACCCAAGGATACCAATGCAGCTCGGAAGAGGTCGGGGGATTGTTGCGGAGAACAACGAACAGCTTGCCCATTGGCCAGTACTATGCGCAAACTCTGAACCCGGTCTGAGAGCAGTCCGTGGCTATATGAGCTTCCGTGAGTCGCTGTGCCAATGGCTCCGGCTAGAGATTGAACGTCGATAGAGCCCAAGTTTGGCATGGTCAAACCGTAAGATTTTGCCTGCAGATTCAAGTTGTGCATGCGTATTCCAGCCTGAACGGTCATTGTTTTGCGCTCCTTGTCGACCTTCAAGACCTGGTTGAAGTCATCAAGATTGATCATCCATGATGAAGTACATGTTAGGTCCGAAGGTGAATGTCCACATCCTACGGTGACAACCCGTCTTCGCATGCGACGTGCGAGATTGACGACTTTCTGAACCTCCTCGAGACTCTGGGGGCGAATGTAGAGCTCAGGTCGCGAGTGGAAGGTCCGGGCCCACGTGTGGTGAATGTGAGAGTGGGATGCACGGAAAGGGACGCCGGGATCGGTACGGTCGAGCTCTATGGAGAGACGTGGTGGCATCATGACGCCTGGTACACCGCCAGCAGGAGGCGAGTGCGCCATGTTGGTGGTGGTCAAGAATATGAACTCATGAGATACGATGGTGGCGTACAGTAGACAGAGTCGAGATCGAAAGACTAGTAGATGACGTTAGCGCGACCCCGCCATGCAGGAACATGCCAAGACATGGCCTGATAGCGGCAGTGGTGTGTGTGCGCTGTACGCCCTAGTCCTGGCTTCTGAGGATGATAGTGTGAAAGAACTTCAGCACGGCAATACAATGAGGCCGATTCTTACCAATCTAGCTCGCCCAGAGCTGAATTACCGGATGCCGTCCTGTTGATCGGCTTTTGTAGCGGGTCCGATTGGGAATTTGCATCCTGCAAGAAAACTTCGCTGTATCCCATGGCAAACATTGCTGAAAGCAGACTTACACAAGGCATATTGTATGTCGGATGTAGGATATGTTTGATGTCAGATACAGCGGATTGAGAGGACACTGCCCCGCTGTTGGCCAATCAATCACGTGAAGTACTTTCAGAATTTAGCGCGTTTGTAGCGCGTCACCAACAGCGGGGCCGCCAGCCCGACATCACCCTGTAGTTTTGACTTTGACGTTGTCCATCTGTCCAACCTCGAGCGCCTACCTTGAGATCCGATATCGAGCAGACCATCATTTTGACTCGGTAGCTTACATCAGCACTCAATTTGGCTGACCCTGATAATCCGAAGCAAACGTGCAATCTTCAACGAGGGACGTGTTTGTCTGTGGTACGATTGCTCTCAAGTGGATAAAGTTTGTCGCTGAGAACAGAACTGTTTTCTATACTACTAACAAACATGATATCACACCTATTGCTGATTCATGAAAGCATAAAAAGCATATAATCAGACCAAACTTGAGTCTTCAAACGCCTCAAATACTCAACATATTATTGTCCTATATATCAACATGACTGCAGATGGGTATGCTGAGCATCTCTGATTTTGTTTCATACTCTTTTTTTTGTGATTCTTATTCGAAAGCGATGGCATTTCGACCCAACAGTTCCTCCATCCACTTCCAGGGTTGTCACAATACTGTATAACGCCATATAGCATGCCAAGGATCAGTCAGTTCGAAGATACAGAGTAGTCGATGCTTGTGGTCAATTTCACAGGTGCAATCTCTCAGAGTGAAAGAGGGCAAATTTCTCTTACTTAGTCTTGCGCGATACCAGCAAACGCCAGGTACACCAATCAATCCTCGTCACTGATCCCAATGGCAACGCGCGGGCTCCAGAAACCTCAATCTGTCTGCCAATTATCATATGCGTAAACGTAGAAAGCCGGACACTAGCACAGTATGTCTGGAGCAAGTCTCCCAGAAGTTGTGCCACCTAGACAAGGAGGGTAGGCCGCGTGATATGACTATACGCATGAGGGCACTCACTCTCACCCGATCACGCCTTCCTGACACCTGACTTTCACTTTCACTCGCTAGTAGCTTTTAGCCCACTTTCCTATCAATATATACCCCTCCCACCCGTCCCCAGCTTTCTCCCACAACTTCTCCCAATACACTTGTCAACTTCTTCTTTTGACACCGATTGACACTCCTATCTCTTCATTCAACATCAATCCGCCGCTAAGCGGTCGTTACGATGCGTCTTCTTGTCGTCGCCCTGCTTGCGCTGCTGGTGAGTTGCTTCGCTAGCAGCTCTCACTCCATCGACGTCTCACCCGCCCTCGAGATCATCGAGGGCTACTTCCATGATCACTCCATCATCGGCCGTGATGCTACCAAATGTAGTGTATCACAGCCCTGTATCGACGGTGTCTGCTGCAATGGTCAAGGTATGTATGACCCACCAGGTTTTGCGGGTCGAAGAGTACTGATGAAACTTAGGTTATTGCGATCCCCATACTGCCAAACGCCGCATCACATACTATGCAGCATCTAACATCCGCCGCCGTGCCTGCGAGCAGATCTGGCCTGTCCGCTTGAACACCACTGGTTTCACTCACATTGTCCTCGGTTTCGCTGTCTTCGATCCGAAGACTTTCGCGGTTGGCATGCAGCACCCTGACGATGGAGAGACTTATAAACAGTTTCTCCGTTTACCCGATAACGTTCGGAAGGGATTGGTAAATGCCTACTCAAAATCTCTCAAGGTGCGATAGCTGACTTAACCACAGGCCATCGGTGGTTGGGAAATGTCAAACGAGGGACCGACGCGCACTGCCTGGTCTGACATGTCGAGTACCAAATCCAACCGCAAGGCTTTCATTGACTCGCTCAAAAAGTTTCTTGACACTTGGAAGTTCACTGGCATTGAGATTCATTGGGAGTGGCCTGGTGCGTCAAATCGCGGCGGCAACCCAGCCGATACTCAGAATCAGGTCGACCTGGTTCACGAGCTGCGTGAATGCTTCGGCAAGGATTTTACCATCTCCGTTGTTCTTCCGGCCCAAAATGGATATCTCAAGAACATGGCCCCGTTGAAGATGCAAAACGTCGTCGATTGGTTCACGGTCTTGACTTACGACTTTCATGGGCCTTGGGACGCCTTTATCGACGGTTTGGGACCCAAGATCAAGCCACACACTGATCTTGCTGAGATAAACTCTACCCTCAGCCTGCTATCATCTGCCAGTCTCGATCCTGCCAAAATCAACATGGGTCTCGCGAATTACGGACGTGGTTTTACTGTCGCCAACCAGACTTGCAAGTACTACGGCTGTGAGTTCACCGGCCCAAGCAAAGCTGGTAGCTGCACAAGGGAAGACGGCCTCCTCAGCGCTTGCGAGATTTCAAGGATCATTCGGGAGAGGAATTTGACACCTCAGGTCATTTACGGTGGTGCAGGCGTCAAGGAGATCTCTTGGGATGATCAGTGGATTGGATACGACGACAATGACACACTCGCGGCGAAGCTGGGCCTGGCAAACAAGCGCTGCCTCGGAGGCACTTCTCTTTGGGCCATTGAGCACGATCACTGCGATGGAGGAGCCGGCGGGCCACAAGCGCCCCAAAATCCAGCCCAACCTAGCCTGCCGCCTTCTGCCCCGTCTCCTGCTCCATCTCCTGTTCAACCCGGCCTCCCATCTTCTGCTCCATTTCCTGTTCAGCCAGGCCGGTCGTCTTCTGCTCCGCCTGGCTTCTCGTCCTCTGCTGCACCGGGTTCGTCCGCTCAACCTGCTCCGCCTAGCATTCAATCGTCTATCCAGCCAGGTCTGCCGTCTTCTGCTTCGTCTGCTGTTCAGCCAGGCCTGCCATCTTCTGTTCAGCCTGGCCGACCGTCGTCTGCTCCATCGTCTGCTGTACCAAGTTCATCCGCTCAACCTAGTATACCACCTCCTGCTCCGTCTTCTGCCCAGCCCGGCCTCCCATCTACTGTTCAACCCGGCTTGACATCTTCTCTTCCATCAGGTTTATTCACTCAACCTGGTCTGCCACCTTCTGCCTCGATTTCTGTCCAGCCCGGCCTACCATCTTCTGCCTCATCTGGTACTCCATCCCCCGTTCAGCCCGGCGTCCTGTCCTCTCCTACACCAGGTTCATCCTCTAAACCTGTTCTGGCGCCCTCCGCTTCGTCTCTCATTCAGCCCGGTCTGCCTTCCTCTGTTCAGTCTGGCCTCCCGTCCTCTGCTCCGCCTAGCTTCCCATCTTCCGTTCTACTAAGTTCAACCACTCAACTTGTTTTACTGCCTTCTGCTCCATCTTTGAGTCAGCCCGGTCTGCCATCCTCTGCTCAGCCCAGCCTCCCATCTTCTTCTCCGTCTGGTATTCCGTCCCCTGTTCAGCCTGGCATCCCATCTTCCGCCCCACCGGGTTCATCCGCTCAACCTGGCCTTTCACCGTTCGCTCCAACATCGTCCGCAAATCCTGCGCAGTCTTCTCTACCATCATCGATTGCCTCCACGCAGGGTTCAATTGTCCCCCAGCCACCCAACAGCTCAATTGGTCAGAATACTTCTCCTGTTGTGCCCTCTGCATCTGAACGCCCTTCGTCGAAAGGACCTCCTAGCCCATCTTCTGCTGTTTGGAGCAACCAACCAACATCCAGATCCACATCGAGCCATTCTGATGTCTCGTCTTCAGTGCAGATACCAGGACCAATATCGCCATTGCCATCTCTGTCTCCTTCTCCAGCTCCGTCTTTAGCTCCAGCTCCATCGTTGTCTCCACTGCCATTGCCATTGCCATCTTTATCGGCATCACCATCTCAGAGTCAGCCTCCATCCCAGTCTGGATCGCATTCGACTGCATGGACAGCAACTGGATCTACCGTACTGGGAAGTTATAGTGCGTTTTCTTCTGGACCTTGGAGCAGTATCACTTCAGTGGCTAGCATATCAGTCCCAAGTTCTTCGCATTCTGGCTCATCTGGTGCTGGTTCTTCTGCTGCTTGGTCGGGTAGCTCTGCCGGATCTTCTGTCACACCAATCGCCCCTGTCGTTTCTTCTGTCACGACCATTGTCCCTCCTGCTTCCTCTACCGCTGGGTCTTCCGCTGTTTCTTCAGGTAGCTCTACAGGGCCTTCTGTCACGGCAATCATCCCAGTCATCCCCATTCTCCCAAGTGGAGCTCCGTCTTCAACAACGCCCAGCACTCAGGTCGGGTCGTCTTCAGTTGTGGGTAGTTCATGGGCAGGTTTACCCAGTGGTCCGAGCCAAGCCCCATCCTGGATCCCGCCTCCTCCTGGCAGTTCGGCAGCACAGTCGCCTCCCCACTCGAGCATGGTTATCTCCTCTTCGTCGCCAGGAAGCTTACCAATGCAGTCTTCCGGTGGCGAGACGGCCACTCGTCCTCCGACCTCCGCTCAGGGTAGCAATACTCCGACTGACATTGTTGTCTCATCCAAAGCCAGTACTGCACCGCCGGTTGTTATCGTCAGTTCCACTCCCACTTCCAGCTCTGCAAAACCATCGCCTACTGCCACAGGATGCCCCGATGAGTGCCGCAACTTGGACTGGTGCAACATCTTCTGCAAAGGCTGGGTGTTCCCGAGGCCCATCGATGTGCAGCCGCCCCACGAATGTCTACTCCCTGAGAACATCAACTGGTGTCGGGCTTGGTGGTGGGGTTTCCCTGGAAACATCGAGCACCATAACGGTGATCCGGATTCGCACTCGGACAGTGATCCAGACTGTAAGCCAAACGACTGCGTTGCGGAGTGTGCGATATGGCGTACTGTCACGTTCTTCATGTTCAAGCGGCCAGTCTGCCCATGTGTTCCCAAGAAGTGCGACAAAGATGGTGAGAGCGACAGTCCCAGCGACAGCGACCGTGACGATCCCAAGGTCAAGCCTAAGCCAACATCTCGTCCAAAGGAGAAGAATCCAAAGTGTAAGTTCCTCGGTTGTGGCTGCGGCTGGATGGGCCTTTCCTTTGGACCTGGATGCCCTGGACTCGAGATCGAAATCACTTCTCCCTGTGGTCTTTTCGGATGTAATCCTTGTGTTTTCTTCGGATGCCCTGGCACGCAGCCCTCAGGTCTTATCGGTTACGATGGATACTGTCCTGGAGGAGGATGCGAACCTTGTCCTCCAGAACTTTGCAGTCGCCCTGGCTGTACGATCTCTGGTGGTTGTGGACCCAAGCCTGGACCAGCACCGACGAAGCCACCGAATCGTCCTGATCCGGAAGACTGCGACGACAGCAAGAGGACCGTCATCACTGAACGCTTCGTGTGGTGCACCAAAGGATACAATGTCTCTGCCCTTCCATCGAGCCTTCGAGGAACTTCTTCGACAATGGTTTCTTCGCTCTGCTTGCCAATGATCGATGCCACAGTGACCATGTGTGGTGGTGCAATGCCTGGATTCGACACGACGACGACACAGACAGGTACCAAAACGGCCGGTTCAAACGGTCCTGCCTGCACTCGGGCTCCATTGTCTCTGGATGACGACGAGGGTGACAACAGCCCGAACGACCCGTTCCACACGTCCAAAACCTTCGCTAGCAACACGACTAACATGGTTCCGTCTAAGACTTCATTTTCATCGCCCAAGACAACCAAGACATCATTCGCGCCGCCTGGCCCTAGCCTCGGCCCTATGGACAAGTTCGGACGCTGGAAGGTGAAGATCAACCAGTACATGTTCAACGACTACTCCGAAGTCAACTGGAAGCTGTACGATCCGAACGGCAACCACGCTGGTGGGCACAACGTTCACGGCAACGGCATGAAGGAGATGAAGGACTACATCCAGTCCGTCAATCGTCCCTTGGAGCACATGATGCCTTTCGGTGTTGACATGACTGTCTCGAATCCTCACGATGTCAACAAGTGTGTTGTGAACTTCTCCATCAAGAAGGAGATGCCAGGCTGCAAAAAGTTCAACGGCGAACTATGCAGGCCCTTTATGACTACTGAAACTTTTACTGAAAGCGGGTTTTTCATGGTCTCAGTGTGTGATACCGAATGCGGTTGGCTAAATCTGAAGTCACTTCTAGAGCCGTCGGATTTGTGGTGCCAGGACCTGAACGATGCGGACTGGGAGCCTATGGCGAACGGGTGGAAACGCATCTTTGAGTGTGGGTGGAAGGGTTTTTGATATCTGCATGAAGGAATGAGGTCCTTCAACTGCTGTGTATGTACTGCTCCAAAGAGTAGACGGCTTTGATACAGCAGCCTCATGAAGCTAATCTAGAACAGCACAATGCTGATGCGCTAGATAAATGAAAGTTTGATTGCACTACCAATGTCCTCCTGCGCACGTCCAGTCGCTTTGTTCCAAACTACTCTCATACCTATGTGCTTTATCTCTAGCATCATCTCTTTTCTCCTTGCGATCCTCTCCAGAATTCTGTGGTTTGAGAAACCCCTTGATATACCTCAAGTCATTGTCATCGTCACTAATTTTGTATTGAATTTTAGCACCACAGCTTTCCTAGGGTCCAACACATGATTGAAAACTCAACACGATCTACGCGTTACACTCACACCGTCCACCCCCTCTCCCTCGCAACCTCCCACGCCGCATCATCATCCACCTCAACAAAAACCCTCAACTCCTTCTCCACCAGCACCCTACAAACCCTCCACATCTCCTCATCCCCAAAAACCTCCTTCGCCTCCCCAAACGCGTACATAGCAATATCCTTACACCAAGGCAAATTGCGTAACCCCGCATAAACCGTATCCTTGACCCTCTGCCTCGCTTCCTCCAGCCTAATCTCTGCTTTACTCTTTTTCCCATCTCGGCGTGGTTTCTTATTCCGCATCTGGATTGTATGCTGCAGACGGCGTAACTGTGCAATTTCGAAGTTGATGTACGATTTCCATAGTGCAGGACAACACTTTCCGCTGGCTTCAACCGCGCGTTTATACAGCGCGCGGACTGAATGCTCTGTTGAGCCCGCAATCTCCCCCCTTCGCATCTCGTAGTGAATTGCAAATGCCCAGCCAGCTATACTACGTTCTTCGTGCTGGAGCGCGGTACGCTGCATTACGCCACGGACGCGGTCGTCGATTGAGAAGCGGGATTCGTTTGCGGCGTAGAGGGCGAGCAGGAGGGTGTTATCTGGGAAGCGGGCGAGGAGGGGCTCGAGGGTTGAGCGGGTGAGGGCGGGTTTGACGATGGGGGCGTGGGTGGTGTGGAAGGCGAGGAGGCGGGATATGGATTGGGCGTGGAGTTCAGCGTAGGGGGAGGAAGTGGCGGCGTGGGAGGTGAACCAGATTGAGAGGTGGGAGTGGAGGTTTGTGGCAAGAGTGATGGAGTAGGAGCTTGTTAGGTAGAGGAGGAGGGCGGAGAGGGAGGTGCTGAGGATTGCAGTGGTGTGGTCTTGGGCGAGTAGGGCTTGTTCGCTGATCTCGGCGAGTCTTATACGAGTATTGTTTACGAGGGTCTCGTCGGGTTGCGATTGTGCAGTTTCGGAGGGAGGGTTACCGTGCGGCGAGACAAGCCGCCATAGTGCTAAATTCCTCTCTCCTCTACGAAGAGCATCCCAGACCCAGCTATCCAGGAGTTTCAATACTTGCGGAGTCAATTCTTTTGATTTGCCAGCTTGCATGCCAAGCACCATGCGGAATACTTGATCTGCTTTTTCCGAGTTTCCTAGTCGGGATTCAACTAATCCATAAGCATTGTATAGACACAAGCTTGGTGGGCGAGCCTTCAGCAGTTGCTTTGCTGTTTTGAAAGCCTCACTGGGGTAGTGTCGGTGTTCAAACGCAAGAAGATACTCTCCAAAGATATCGTCGCTCGACGGATCTGAGGCTACGAGTTTCAGCAGTCGTCGGATAAAATCAGTATCAAGTCCGATGCTACTGGTAGAGAAATTTTGGTCGAATAACAGCTCTGTTGTCATCTGGAAACTTTTCGATGGGCAATCCGAGAAGTGCTTGAGCGTTTGTATAAAGTTGGAAGATTCCTCCCCGTTTAGGGGAGTCGATGACCAGTGGCGTTGCAGAAAAGGATCGGACCACCAGCTTTGCTGATGCGCGCCCGACTTTGGCATAGGAGGTAGTCCGCAAAAGCATAGAAAGGCTTCCACAAGCATTCTTGGCGGTACGTCTTCTGGAATCAGCTTCAGGTATGGTGCTATGTCATCGAAGAGAATGGTATGGAAAGCATCATCCTCTGCTATGTCGTCAGATGCCCGGCCTGGTATCACAAGCCGTCTTGTCGCTTCCGTTTCGCGTTTTCCGAAGTCTTCAAAGAACGAGTCTGACGAGTCTTTCTCTAACAAGGGGGAAAACTCAAACGATGCAGGCTCATCTGCTGGACTGTACTGCTTCCACCCTTTTGCTTGTGGCTCGCCAATACGTGCTACCTCACTATCCCAGAACACCTCAAACGCTTCGATGGTCGCATCATCTGCGGGCCGTAGAATACAGAATTCAAGCAAAGCTTGCAAAATTGCTACCGAAAGCTCCTGGTATCCGGCTTCATATGTCATGGATGTAAGGCGCAGTAGTATGTGCAGCATGCTCGTAGGTGGAAATTCTTGTGTGCTTGCACTAAGAGTTTCGATGCACTTGAAGAAGATAGCTCGGCAATCTTCATACTTGAAAGTTGTGAATCGCGACTGTACGAAGTCAAGATACATCATCCACAGTTCCACGCTCTCTGAATGTTTTGCGAGAACGTCCTTCCATTTACTGGCCAGCTTGGCGCTGTCCCATGCTTTCTCGGTCTCTTTCAAGAGCCCTTTATAGAGTTTTAACTGGCCCTCAGGGAGTTTACCGACCTTCTTAAGGGCTTCTCCGTATATGTCGATGCGTATGTCAGCAAGATGGGCTTTGTCAGAAACTGTCAACTCAACAGATGGCCGCTCAAGCTTTAGCATGGCCTCCTGATGAGCGATCAGCGCCAGCCACCCTGCAACATCTTCAGGGTGCTCTTTGGTGTGCCGCGCGAGTCGCGAGTTGGTGCGAGTGACTTCGGCATCAAATGTAACATCAACATCAGACTCATATTGCGTATCTGGGTCAGCTGGCTCGGCAGATTTTGGCTCATCTATTCCTCGATAGTCAAATTCTGGTGTTCCTTCGTCGTCATCGTCATCGTCATCATCACTGTCATGCCGCATCCTTTTGCCGGTTGCAGACAAGAGCACAAAGTCTTGGTTGAGATCTGAGGCATCGCCGCCGGCTTTTACTAGACGCAGCGCACGTTCACCTGACCGCTTTGTGGGTTTATCTGTGAGCAGACGCTGTTGACGTCGGCGCGTGGCAGGCGAAACATATATTTTCTTGTCCGTAGATAATTCTCTGTCAATCTTCTGCCGCAATGAAAGACCCAAGACAAATCCATGGCCATAGCGACGGTAAGGTGGAATTTCATAACGGTTCAAGGTACCGTACCGTAATACGTCCGCGTCTCCTCGCCGATCGCTGAAGTAGGGCTTGTTTGCAGAGGCGTCTTTTTCCCGGATCTGTCGGCTTGGTGATTTTGAAACTCTTTTGTAGTGGTGTTTTTCTTTTGATGTCTGATCAGATTTGCCATGTTGTTGAGGTTCATTGGATAGTTCCTGAGCAGGCTTGGGCTTTGGCCGGAAGCTCGCGAAACTCGAGGTGTTTGCACTCATTGTAGGGTGCGAGCATGTGACAGAATCCTTCAATACTGAGAGACAATACAAGCCAATGTTATGGTGCTCTTGTTCGTAGCCACGGTGAAGGGTGCGAGAAACGCAGCATGAGTCGAGGGATGGTGCAAATCCGATGAGAGACTACAACCTCAATGCCAAATTTATTTCGTTTTTTCTGGAAGAAGCTGTGGATGCTGTGAACACCTCAAAGCTAGGACGGAGGGTTATGTGTAATGAAGGGCAGGTAGCACGTGTCTCGGGAGTCCGATGGCGCATGTGGCTGAAGCGGCCCGCCGTAAAAACCTACTAGCGTGAAATCTTGCAAATGGTCCGTCTCGAAATTTTGAATGCGCATCACCATCCTCAAGCTTTCCCACCCAACCCGCCGCGACAACTTCCACGCTGTTTCGCAGCGTCTTATGGCTTCTGGGATTTCCGAAAAAAAACCTTGATTTCTTGTGCGACACAGGAAATTCCCGAAAATGGCGACGGCGCTTCAGAAACAGCTCGCGACCATCGCGGCCTCGAGCACCCACCAACTCGACCTGCGCGCCCAGAAGGCGGCACACGGCAAATCTCTGCTGTTCGAACCCAAGATCGCTGCATCACAATCATTTGAAAATGTTTATTTAATATGTTACGAGGGCTACCGGGAGCTGTGCGCGCTGGATTCGAGGTTTTTGCGCTTCTCCAAGAATCTCTTCAGCGAGCAGAGCAAAGCCGAAGACCGCACCCAAATGACCAAGGATGAGAATTCTAAGCTCGATGTTGTGCTTGAGGCCTTCATTACACTGGTCGGCCCCCGATTGCTGCTCAAGCCAGCAGAGAAGGCGCTGGAGTGGCTTGTGAGGAGATTCCGGTACGTCGAATAGCACCACCTCGCCTGCACAAGCTTGCGCTATTGGCATGGCTAATTGCAAACAGCATCCATGAATACAACACCGAATGCCTCGTCTTCACTTACTTGCCTTACCATAACACGCCCCAATTCCTCGCTCTGCTGTCCATCTTGCCCCCGCAGCCATCGCACGCCATCCGCTTCCTCTTCCCCTACATCCAGGCCCCCACCAATGTACCTCAGCGGACCATTGCCTACACAGCCATCAATACGCCCCAGTTCTTCAAGGCTTATCACACATATGTTGCCAAAGTAGTGGAGGCAGGCCATCAGGCTGCTCACATGCTGTCCTTCTGGTCTGGAATCACTGTCGAGGCAATCTACGGCATACTGAGCAACTCAAACTCCGGCAAAAAGCATCTCCAAGACCAGAGTACTGAGAAGCTGGTTCTGGATCTACTTCCAGTTCTCAACAGCTGCATGCACGCCAAGCATGGAGCTGACACTGTCCTAGCCTGCTACGCCATCGTCATCATGTTGGTGAACCAGGCAAAGGTTGGAGATAAGGTTTTAGATGGTTTAATGGAGGCTGTGATTACAGCTCATGACGAAACATCACTTCAATCCTGCCTGGGCTGCTTGGCAATCATCGCAAACGAGCGCTCAAAGGCACAGCTCCCGACAAAGGTTGCGAAAAAGCTTCTTAAGGTGCCGCAGCTTGTACAAAGGCTCAAGAGTGTATCCGAGCAGTGTCAGGCCGAGCGACTTGTACTGGGCTGCGCGCTCGGTGCGCTCAACGTCGGCTCAGAGGAAAACCATGCCATCTTCCATGAGCTTATCGCATCGGGTCTGATCAGCAAATCCCGTATTCAAATCGTACTGTCAGCGGTAGCTCAGCTACTGCGCGACAGTGTGCCAGGCTCTGAAACGCATGGAGAGTTACTCCAGGTTGCCACCAGACTAGTCGAATCGAAAGACCTGTCATCCATGCTGCAGGATGCTGCAAAGCAGAATAATGTCGATCTGGAATCCCTCGGACTGACCATTGCGCAAACTTTCGAGATTGAGGCTATTCAAGATATGGATTCTGACGAAGAAATGGTTGACATTGATGAGGCTGCTGAGAAGCCCGTTGTAGAGGTGCCAGATATCACAGTTACCAGCTTCCTTGATGCAGGATCAGAAAAGGAATTTGCCAAGGCTGCTCATGCTTTCGAGCAGGCAGTGTTGACCAAACAGGCCAAACAATTTCTTGCTTCCGATGCACTGCACCAGGAAGCTGCACTCCAGCAAACGCGCTACCTATCCTTCCTTGCCCGTGTCTGGAACAGTACCCGCCCGGTTGCCGTTCGTATCGCCGCTCTACGTGCTACGGCCTCGTCACTCGAGAAGTCGGAGGTTGCCCATACCCTGCAGAACCTTTTGCCGTACTTTGTCCATGCGCTCGCCGACCCATCACCCCACATTCGACGGTCCGCTGCCGCTTGCATCAGTCTTTTGACGCGAAAGGCCTCCGCGAGATCGAAAGCTCAGTCGTGGGGCAAGTCTGACGTGTACGGCAAAGCTTCTAAGAACATCACAGACCTGAAACCTGAAGATGTTTACGTTTTTATTGTCTCGATGCTCCAGCCGATGCTTGAGGAGTGTGTCATGGATGCACATTTCATCATTCCTGCGCTCCGCAGTGTTCTCGAGGGAACGCAGTTGCAGAACCAATCTAAACAGACTTTCAAAATGCAAACACGAACGGCCATACTCAGCTTCTTCGCAAATCACGCCGGTTGTACACCCTTGCTAAGAGTCCGGTTGTGTTTGCTCCCAATATTCAACATTCGCGGAAAGGTCTCAGACACTGTCCGCACCAACTTCGTCCTTCCATTGTTGAACGAGTGGTCTACTCTTCCAATTGATGCTGTAACAAACCAGTGCAGCAGCGAAGTCATCTCTCTTGATGATGCTGAGCGCTCGCACCTCGCTGCAATCATACCGAGGGAGGCAAAGAGTGCCCAGTTGTTGCAAGATATCGTCTCTGGAACACTCAACAAAGAGCGGGAAGTGCTAGTAGTAGCTGCTTTCGGTCAAGTTCACACTTCATGGTCTGCTTTCCGATCTGAATCTCGACATTCCCTTGCTCAATGCATGCTAGGTTTGGCGTTGAGCGAGAGCGACGACTCTTTCGACAGACTTTGCAGAGAACAATCCATAGAGATCCTACGGAACGTCAATCTTGACTCTGAAATCCTTGTTTCTTTCTTGGACAGCGTTCCCTCGCCCACCGCGATGCCTGGAGGGCCACCGGCAGCGAAGCGGAGACGGACTAGCCGAAGCGAAATGGCCCGAGTCGAACTCTCTTCTCAAGATGACGTTCAAAGGCTTCTTCGAAGACTCACATTGGTACTCGAATTGGTCGAAGGATCTAATCCAGGACAGCATCCAGAGCTTTTCAAGAGCCTTTTCGGAATCTTTGCTGAAATGCAGCCACTTAAGCAGCAGTCGGAATCTGAATTGGTTTACCTGCAGAGTATCATTCTCGGGTCGTTAAGCCCAATTGTTAGGACACTCATGGAGATGCCAGACACTGCCGATTACCAGTCAGCAGTGCGCGCAGACCTTTTGATCGACTGCATTCGACACTCCTCCAGCCCGCAAGTGCAGAATAGTGCCCTGCTCTTGATTTCGAACCTTGCTTCATGGGTTCCTGATCTGATTCTGCACAACCTTATGCCTATCTTCACTTTCATCGGATCTACTCTGCTTCGACAGCATGATGACTACTCAGCTCAAGTCGTTGATAAAACAATCTCCCGCGTCGTACCGCAACTGGCTGCTTCGCTTCGCTCGAAACACAGGGACTTCATTGCTGGAGTTTCGGACTTGCTGCTGAGTTTCACTGCGGCGTTTGAACACATTCCCTTACACAGAAGGATGAAGCTGTTTGCACAGTTGGCTCGCACATTGGGCCCCGAAGACTCTCTCCCGGCTATTGTTGCTTTGCTCGCCGACCGGTACCACAGCAAGGAGCAACGAAGGTTCTGCGCAGACTTGTTGCTTTACTTCGATCCTATCAACACCTTGGTCACCTTCAAGGGTTACCTTGATCTTCTCACCGATGCCACCGGACCGAAACCACAAGTCGCGGAGACACTCTTTGGGCTGAAGGAGAAGACAAAGGAGAATAAGTTCGATTCGGGAATTCAAAGCATGCTTACATGCTTGACCGATCTGGCCCTAGACGACAAGGTAAAAGCACACGTCACCAGAGCGTACCGAAAGAAGGACGACCCAGAAAGGCCACGAAGGATCTTTGCAGACATTATCGAAACCACCATCCAGCTCTCCAAGAAACTGGCGTCAAACTCGAAGACGTACGCAGCATGCAGCCGTGTTCTCGCCAGTTGCTTGGATCTTTTGCCGACGACCGATCTCATCAAGTCTGCTGAGTTGCTCCTCTCTAGCACAGACTCTCATGTACAGGTCGCTGCAGTCAAGTCAGTCGAGCTTCGAGCAGGTACTGCCAAGCAGAATGACCGCAAGTCTGTGGAAGCACTCATCTCCTTCTTGCCTAGCGTTCAAACGCTTCTGCAACAGACATCTGAGATGGATGCGAAGATGGTCTCGGTCAGTTGCATCGACCGCATCATCGAGCGCTTCGGCAAGAAGGATGTATCTGCTGTATCATCAGTGGCTCAAACCATTGCCGGTCCTGAATCACTATCAAGCAATGACGACAGAATCCGCATCTTGTCTTTGATCTGTCTAACTTCTGTCATCGACGTTCTTGAGGATGAAGCCATCTCGCTACTACCTACAATCGTTCCCATTGCGTTTGAGTACCTGTCAAATGCGATTGATGAAGAGAAGGCTGGTCTTCACAATGCTGTATTCACCTTGCTTGCGAACATTGTCGACCGTCTGGGATACATGTTCTCGCGGGAGTACTTAGATACTGCTTTGCGGTTGTCTCAACGTTCTGCTGCTGCCGACCTTGAGGATGCTTGCGATGAAACCCGCGCTAGCTTCTACCAGAGTGTATCGCAGCATCTCAGTGGACAAGAAGTATTTTCTTCTATCAAGACGACATGGTCAAATGCCGCCTCCCAAGGCTTCGACGCCTTGTTCGAACAGCTTCAACTTCTGCAGTCCACAATCAATGCTCAGACCA